TAAATCACATTAAAAGCTTAATTTGTAATTATGAGTGAATGATGATGCATTTATATACCGTCACCATCACTCACAGCCGCTCGCACGTGTTTTGTGAGTGAGCCGCACGCAGTCCAAAATTAAACGACTTAATCGACCATCGATAGCTTTAATCGATTGCATCTCTTATCAACAATTAATCAATCATCAATTAATCGTTGACATCCCTAATGTGAAAACGAAGAAAAACTCTGCGATACGGTATACTTGTCAAACAGACATGAGAAATATATTTAGCTATATAAACCTTGAAGTGCCCGCTTTTAAAGTCCCTGTAAAGTCAATTCTGAGAATTGTTTCTGAATGCATTATAAATGTTACAAATGTATTGCTGAAACACATTACAAAGACTGTGAACTATGTAGTACTGAATAGACCGTTAAACAGTTTTTCACCAATTCTGTGTTCAGGATTTTTTGGGCGGGGCTAAAAGGGGGGTTCGATGACGCACTGGAGCCCCCGAGCCATGGCCCCTCCCCTAACACTATAACTAGAGCACATTCGCATCAGTTCACCAGCTAAATCACGAGTTGTCAGTACCGTTAGTAACACACAGCCTACGTGGAGTTAGACCGTTAAACAGTTTTTCACCGATTCTGTGTTCAGGGTGAACAAAAAGGGGGTTCGATGACGCATTGGAGCCCCCGAGCCATGGCCCCTCCCCTAACACTATAACTAGAGCACATTCGCATCAGTTCACCAGCTAAATCACGAGTTGTCAGTACCGTTAGTAACACACAGCCTACACAGTTTGCTAGCTAGCTATGCCTTTGTCACTGAAATGCGTATTTCCTGGTTGCGATAACATACAAAACAGCTCGGTGTCCTTATTTAAATTTCCTAATAATGATTATATCAAAAAGAGTTGGATTAATTTTGTGAAGAGCCACCTTGATGGAGAGCTGAGGATCACCACCAAAACCCGCCTCTGCAGTGATAATTTTACACCGGATAAATTTATAAACTTTCATCGGAGACAACTGGGATTCACTGATAATCCAGTTATTGGTAAATGGGGCCGAACCTACTATTTCCCGCCTCGGCCTTTATCCTCCGGTCCGGACACGCCCACAGCGTTTGAGAGCAGAGGATACCGCCCATTTTTTCAAGATTTTGATCACTTATTTTATTTACTTGGCGGATTTTTTCATCATTCAAATTTGGCTGAGTGGTTAATAATACATTTTTCTGTGGTGTGACAAACTCAGAACTAGGGTTGCACGATATATCGAAATATTGCAAATGTAAATATCGCGATATGCATATCGCAACGGCGTGCCATATATCTCTATCCTTTTAATAATAGGCTACTTAAATCAAAACGTTGCAAAAGGTCAAAGTTTCAGTTCGACGCATATAGCAGAGAATTGCTTGACGTTAAAAGGAGTTATTAAGTGCAATAAGTTGCAGAAAACAACTCTTTGTCGTCTCGTCTTGCTGTCTTGACAGACTCACACCTGAAGCGCACGCACAAGCCGCATCTCGCACAGCGTATCTTCCGTTCTGCCGCACACGTTCAAACGGACGCGTTTCAGACGGTGCGCGAACACCGAGTTGATTCGTCTTTCGCATCTCCTCCTCATGTTTGAACAGACACATACACACAGCCTATAAATACGTGCCGCTGAATGTCACTAATGTTAATCAAACAACAAAACAGCTATAAGATTAATCTAAATTTAATTAATACAGTGAACACAATGCAGTGTTATTTTACACTTAATTATTAAATTTCTGTACCTGAATACTACTGTTTATTTTATTTATGCTTGTAAATTGTGTATTTGTTATTTTTTCCCCTTTTTCTTTCTTTTTTTTTTTTACTGACTTCACTTGCCTTTAATCATGTTTGAACTTTCTCAGACTATAGTTTTTGCTGTGGTATATGAAGAAGTAGTGTGTGGTTTTTTACTGACTTCACTTGCCTTTAATCATGTTTGAACTTTCTCAGACTATAGTTTTTGCTGTGGTATATGAAGAAGTACTTAAAGTGTATGGAAAGCAAAGTCACAATGATATAAAATTAGTGTTATTCATTTTTTTGTCATTCACATTGATGTTAAAATGACATTTTCTGATTTGTGACATTACTTTTTATGTACTGCTAAAACACTGCTGCTCACTTTCAGAAGTTGTAGTGATTCTTTCTTTTCCAAGAAATAATGTGAAACAAATTGGTTACATAATTTTCATTTTTAAATATTTTAAAATATAATTTAAATAGATTTTTCACACTTTAAGCAATATCGTATCGCATTTTTTTTCAATATCGCACAGCCCTACTCAGAACACATATTTAATATTGCCTTTACAGGGACTTTAAGTGTTTACGCTTTGCTTATTTGACATTAATGCATCATATAAGTCACTTTGGAATATAAATCATAACACGTTTCAGAAGATAAAAACGGGAATTGCAGTCCGGAAAATACGGTATAGCAAATTATTTTGCGGACCCCCTGGCTTTGCGTCACGGACCCCAGTTTGAAAACCCCTGGACTAAAGAACAGTTTTGTGCTCATAATGTAAGTCAGTAGGGTCCAAAGAACACTGGACCCCATTGACTTTCATTGTATGGACCAAAAGAAAATCGTACAGGTTTGGAAAAGCATGACAATGAGTAAATAATGACACCATTTTCATTTCTGGGTGAACTCTCTTTAGCCTAACACACTAAAGCCATGAAACAAATGAGGATGGAGTCTGCAGAGTCTTTATACAGCATTCAACACTTGTCAACAGGTGTCACACACTGTGTACATACGCTACCACTCACCAATATTCTCATCTGCCTCATAGTTGATGAAGCCGTTGGGGTCTCTTTTCCCTGTGTGAGACACTCTGAAGAGAAGAGAATAGGATTTGACCATGTGACTGTTACTGGGCTCAAACTCATTGCTGGACACCAGCAGGGAAGGGAAGGCACCAGACTTGGTTTGGCTGAGATCCGGGTTCAAAGGCACCTGCTTTTTCCCCGTAGGCACTTGCTTTATAGGGCAGCTGACATCCTAAAGGAGCATCATAACAAAAAGAATGAGTAGCATACTTTAATTGTTTTATCCACTTGTAAGTTTTAAGGGACAGCTCACCCAAAAATAAACATTTACTTACCGACATGTCGCTCTAAACCAAAAATATCACATTTATATAAAATAAAATGAAAGAGGAGCTCACCTTACGCTTTTTATGACAGACTTTGACAAGTAGCACCTCAAGTGAAACTGAGTTTTTATCATTTTCTGAGTTTTGACATGGCTTATCTGGTTAAAGAACAAAATTATATCAGAACCCTAAAATAATGGTTAGATATTAATATGATAATTCAGACGGATTGGTGCTGTACACTACAGGCAAATTTAGACTCACCATTTTTGTGAAAAAATCCAGTGAATGTCAGTTGCAGATGTGAAGTCAAACTGAAATCACAAATGAAACACTAAAAATCACCATTTGGAACCAAATTATCCCATCACATTTTCGTATAACACAACTGGAAACCACTCAGTTACTCACTTTAAAACAATCAATCTGAAAACAGTGGGCCAAAACCATCTCTATCTAGCAATTTAATAGACTACACAACCTTTGGCCAGATTTTTGCCCCACTTTGCTGACTAGAAGAGTTGCCAAAAATCAGAACCACACCGCAAATTTTGGGCAATTGGAGTTGACAGATTGCACAGGAAGTTGCATAATATATGATGGGCACAGACTTATTTAGCTTTAGACTATGATTCGATTCAAGTCGGAGGATATCAAACGTTGATATTTTGAGACTATTTTATGAAAAATATTGTTTTAATTTGTCATGTGTCTCCTAGCAACGAGGCACATATTTCTTTATCAGTTTGTTGTGTCGGGAACAACTTGAAAGTCTGGTAGTGTATGATCCTCAGTAGTTTAGTGTATAATGCCCAGTTTTTCCTCTGTAACCATTTACAAAGTCGGCAAGTGTATGCTGCCTATTGCTTGAAAATCTATTCAGATATTAAAAGTTGTGTAGTGTATTCCAACCTTTAGGCTCATAGCTGTGTAAGAACACAGCATGCAAAACATCTGTAGAAGACCAGTAGGCCTACCTCTCAGACTCAGGCTCTTCTTTCATTCTCTCCACATTGGACAGCAAATCATCCACTTTAAATGTTTTCCTAAAGAAAAACGCCAGTTTATTTAATAAGCACATTGTAAGCAAAGCAAAGCAGATTTTCAGATTACAATTATTAGAACATAGAGAAGACCTACCTTTTGGCATTTGTTCGTGAGTTTCTATGAGACATAAAAGTGAGGGTCCTATGAAGTAATATCGGCTGTGAAAAAGCAAGAAAAAACGCTAAAACCAAGTACAACCAGACCAGACGTTAACATAAATTCGGTGTTAAGCCTTTTGATTAATTTATAAAGGTATACTTACAGTTATTAGGTTCCTTGTTCGTAGGAATCTGTATATTTGAGTAGGCTCTGAATACAAAATTCATTAGTATTAACAAAAACATACTATTTTAAAGCTTCGAAGTGAAAGCAACTTCTATCTGTCGCTTTTAAACCCTTCATATACAATAAACTAGAGGGTTTTAAGTAACTTTCTGCAAAATTTGTTATTACTTAGAGATAGTAATAAAAAACAGCATCATATTAAAAACAGCTACAAGACATTACAAAGCTAAATCCAAGGACTCCTCCACATATCTAACGGCAGTAAGAGCAGACCAGAGAACATTGTCATGATAAAGAGTTGTGACAGATGTGTGTTAATATACTCTCCCAAAGGCAAGATCTATTTTACTTGGTGTTCCTAAATGAGACAGATAGACTCACTTTCAAAGGCCTGCAGGAAGAGCTCATGGTCGGCCTGCAGCTGCTCCATCTTGGGCTTCTTTATGGAGCTCACGCCAGAGGATGGGTATTCAGCACCATTGGCTTTACAGTTCATCACCTGAGCCGAGTATTTCTGAGGAGCCATTATAAACTAACAACTAACCGAAACTTCACACCAAAACAACACCAGGCAAAATGAATATTTGCACATTAATGACAGACAGCTGCCCTCGCTCCTTTAACCAGCTCTCTACCATCACCTAAACATCAGATATCGGTGGTCACCAGTCTCTGTGACTAGTACATGTTTTAATATGACTCATATTAATAAAACATATGAGTTGTAAATATGTTATAGATGTACGTCCTCAGTCTGGTCACTGATCCTCAACAGAGGAAAATTAGCACGTTAGTTTGCAGTCCTTCACAGCGACGAAAACACAGCTAAACGGCACCTGGTTATCCATCCATACAGGCAGCCGTTCACGTACCGGATTAGATAAACATTATGGTTTATTAAATATGTTATTTGCGACCGAAATTGCGTTTATTTTGGATAGGAAAACCCAACCAAGTGATGGATATCGATACTAGCCCGAGCCAAGGAGGAAAGTGCCGTGAGAACCCGCCCATGACAATGTGGCAGCCAATCGGAGTCGCGTCTGGTGACATCGAGGTTTTCTATTGGCCTGACTCGCCTTGATAGACGCGAGATTAAGATTGGTAGAGGAGACAAATTGCCGCCAAGAATGTTTTGATTCTGGGAGAGAACGCGGGGAAGAACAGCACATAACGCTAGCTCTGTTTGCTTATCTATTGCAAATGATCATTTCAAATAAAAAAAAGTAATGAATGTATGTACCGAAATAATATTTCTGTTCTACATTTCAATCGAATGATAGAGTGAAAACTGTTGAAAACCGTTGGCCCTCGCCACTCCACAAAGCTTCGCAATTCAGGAAAACATTAACATTAACGTTCTAAATTATGATGTTCTCCTAAAATGAAGAGCTTTAAACAACAATAAATACCGAGGAACCATCAATCGAATGCAGAATTCCCATCGGAGTTTTTTTTTCTGACGAGCAACCGGATGTAGACCACATGACAACTTCCCGTCCCCACGTGTGTATGTGAATGTGAGGCAAGACAGGTTTCGCCTTTCCACTAAAACTCTGAAAATCTTACACATTTATCTGAAGATTTACTTCACACTCCTTAGAAATGGCTGACATTGTGCAACAACGATTAGAGGACAGAATACCAGCTCTCGAACAGTTGGAAAGAGTCGGTTTGTTCACCAATAAAGAAGTCAAGTGAGTATCAGTGCACGCACGAACACAACAGATAAAAACAAGTGGTTCTACTCTGAAACAAACAGATTCCTCAAGCAAGGCTTTTGTTTCAGGTCTATGTTGAAAAGATCTACTGCTCTTGAATACAAGCTGCACCGAACAGTTCAGAGTAAAGACGATGTTATTACATACATACAGGTCTGTATTGACAAAAGGCTGTTTAATATATTTTGTTTTGCACAAACATCATTCATACATAATTTGGTTATCTGGAACATGATAGGTTGGGCTTTGCATTTGCACATGACCTTTCTAACCATCTACAAGGTCCAAATAGCTTAATATGAGACATGTAATTGGGTGTTTTTGTTTCTGTTCTTCATCAGTATGAAATAAACGTCCTAGAGCTTATCAAGAAGAGGAGAGCAGTGAGTAGAGCTTTGGTTTATTTATTTGTAAAATATAGTTTTGGTCATGGGTAATTCTGGCATTGTGTACTAGTGAATATATGCACCCCAACTGTACTGTTATGTTTACAGAGAATTGGTTACCATTTTAAACGAGAGGAAATTGAGTATCCCATCATTCATCGCATAAACCATGTTTTCAGAAGGGCTACAACAAAATGGCAGGTTGGTCAATATGAAAAAAAACAATAACCTTACTTTAGATGTTGTAATTTGATGTTCAGTTTTTAACTTGCTTCAAATCAATGCTTTTTCTGTAGGAAGATGTGCAGCTCTGGCTTTCACAGGTTGCCTTTAATAAGAAATGGGTATGTGATTTTGTTATTAAACATTAATTAAAAACAAGCAAATCTGTGGTAAAGTGCCTGTGCTGTTTTATTATGGGTATGTCAATTATTTAATTCTGTTCTTGTCATCTTTTTATCAGGGCACAAAGACTCAGCTCAGCAAGGTTTTGTCATCTATGTTAGCTATCCATCCTGACAAACCAGGTAAGCTTTTATTTCAAAAAGAAAATAATTTGTTTTAGTTGCTTTGCCTAAAAGATTGATTGTTCTATATAGTATTCATATTCATTTACTTTAGAGGTGTAAGAAATTTCAAAGCAGATGGCCAGAAATATAATAATATCATAATACTTGCAGCTTTGTGGATAATGGCTGCTAAGTGTGAGATGGAGGACAGAAACTCTTCAGAGAGCGCCCGACATCTCTTCCTCCGTGCCTTGCGCTTTCATCCTGAGAATAAGAAAGTCTATCAGGAGGTGAGGAGACACTGGCATCTCTTTTAATTGGCCTGAAACAACCAATAAAACATTTAATTATAAAAGGTCCATACTGATGTTCATATAATAAAACTGTTAATTTGTGTGTGCGCGTAGTATTTCCGGATGGAGCTCATGCATGCTGAGAAACTGAGGAAACAGCAGCAGGAGTTGGAACAAGCTAAAATAGATGTGGTAGGGTTATAGGTGTATATCTGAGCCCTTTCTTGGGTAAATAAAATGCTAATTAAAAAGCAAGTAACAAAAGATGTTTTCTCGATTTAGGGGGAATATAATTTTTCTCCGGAAATCTTGAGTGGAAAACTTGCTGAGGTGGTGTACAGAGATGCTGCACAAAAAATTAAAGGTCAGCTAAATTTCCACAGAACCGTTTTAACTCAACAGGTTGTATTAGCTGAGTGTTGTACATTTATCCGTCTTGTCTTATCAGGGGCTGAATTCATCTTGTCGCTGCTACAGATTGCTGCCATCTTTGACTTCACAAAGGAGCTACAGGACACCATCCTGCAAGAGTACAGAGTCTTTTCTCCTTTTGCCTACCATTCTGAGATCAGACGATTTACGCAGACAAGTTTCTGCTTTCTTTTTTTATGTTTAGTTGGTCACCTTAAAGGGATAGTTCAGCCAAAAATGAAAATTCTGTCATTTATTATTCACCCTCATGTCGTTCCAAACCCGTAAGACCTTTGTTCATCTTCAGAACACAAATTAAGATATTTTTGATGAAATCCGAGAGCTTTCTGACCCTGCATAGACAGCAACGGAACTACACACGTTCAAGGCCCAGAAAGGTAGTAAGGACATCGTTAAAATAGTCAATGTGACATCAGTGGTTCAACAGTAATTTTATGAAGCTACGAGAATACTTTTTGTGTGCAAAGAAAACAAAAATAACAATTCTTCTTTTCCGTGTCAGCATCTGCCGCCATTCACGAGAGTACCACAACACGTGTGTGGTGCTGCTGACATAAAACACGTATGCGCTGCGCGAGAGTTGTGGTACTCTCGTGAATGGGGGTGAGTAATTAAAGGGTTAGTTCACCCAAAAATGAAAATTAGCCCATAAATTACTCACCCTCAAGTCATCCTATGTGTATATGACTTTCTTTTTTCAGACGAATCCAGTCAGAGTTATATTAAAAATTGTCTTTGATCTTTCAAGCTGTTTCATGGCACTCAGCGGGTGTTGCATGCATCAGTCCAAAAGCACTTAATTAAAATGTGCCCATCCATAAAAAAAAAGTCTCACACATGGCTCCGGGGGGGTGAACAAAGGCCTTCTGTAGCGAATCGATGTGTTTTTGTAAGAAAAATATCCATATTCAAAACATAATAATCACTTTAATTAGGGCTGCACAATAAATCGCATGCGATATTTAATGTGCATTTAATGCGCATCTTATCAGTAAAGCCGGTTCTGTAATCAGCGGTAAATCTCCATCACCTGCGTGCTTTCACATTGAGCAGCATTAACTACACAGAGCCGTTGTTCACCGACGAGCTGTGCAAAAAATCGTGCGAATATTAATGTGGTTTTGCGCAGCTCATCAGTGAACAACGGCTCTGTGTAGTTAATGCTGCTCAATGTGAAAGCACGCAGGTGATGGAGATTTACCGCTGATTACAG